CCAGTAAGGTCTGTATTTGCCAGCTTCATCAGAATGTCTTATATTTTATTTCCCTAGTCACTATCAGATGCATTTGCTTCAACTGGTTCTCAATTGTGGCTGCCCATTTACAATTTTAATTCTGCTATCTGTGCCACCTGACCTTAGGATTTTTCAGTAATTGGTAACTGGATACCCTAGTAACTGGTAACCTAGTAACTGGGCTTGGCTACTACTAAACTACTGAACTCTCTTCTTACCTCCTACTCTAGATCTTTTCTCAATAGTTTCTCTGGAACTGTTCCCTAAAGCACTGCTAGTATGTAGTTGAATAATCTATTGCACACACCAGTCCTTGGCCATACCCACTAAATGACTTCTTACTTAGTTTTCATCCAAAAACATTAGGAAAAAAATTTTTAATTCATAAATGCTTCATTTCTGCTAATATATGTCTCATAATGGGTATGCCACTATCCCTGATGTTGTATCCCTGGAAATAGGATTTTCAGACCCAAACAATGACTCACTGAGGTGCCATTTCTAGAAATCTAGTCATTTCTACCTAGGAAATTGGCCAATCTCAGGAAGTAATAAATAGGTTACCAAGAGGGAAGTTAAAGCTTCAAATGAATTGAAGTCTTGTGAGATTTTGATGAATCAAAGCCATTTAAAAATATAATAACCTTAGGTAATTTTTAATGTGTGAAATTCTGTTCTTTCAGAACTAAAAAGCAATGACACAATTATTTTGAAAATTTTTTTTATTAAGAAGAAATCTGGATAATGACTGCATTTTATGAGGTTGCTTTAAAAATACATTATATATATGAAGGTGTAAATTTAACTGTCAAACACTTTAATTACTTAAAAATTAAGCAGGTCAAATACTTTGTTTCCTCTAACTTATTTTTTGGCACTACTTTACTGGATGTGAATAAAAATCAAATATTGAATAGCACCTTTCTCAAAAGAACTATTTAAAAATAATCTTAGACATAATACTCCATAGTTGTAAGTCCGAGGAAAATAACAAAGATATTGGGATTAAAAAAATTTTTTGTTCATATTAAAAAAGAAGAGATATTAAAAAGAAAGCAGATTTTATGACCTCTTAGATTGAATAGAGACAGAGGGATGGTTGGGTTGAGCCCACACAGAGTTATTAACATCACTAGTGATTTTTTTTCTTGTCTTTGTCCAATTCTTTTCCTAATTCAACTAGATACACATTCCACAGTGCTCCAGTTTTGGAGAGGCAATCTTTCTTTGTTTCACCCCCAACTGAATATGCCTGTTTTGACTCCCATTACCTAAGAAACTTCCAAATGTTTTAGGTATCTGATAAAAGTGAACCAAAGAGATTTTGTTTTTCAGTGCACAACACTTCTATTTCTGTCACCATGTCAACTCCATGGACAATCAAACATCTGGAGATAATCTTTGCAGAATCCTTCCTATATTTTAAAGATAATTGTCTTGTCTCCTTTATAATTCTGAATTCATTATTCTCAGTTGCTTTATCATGAGCTTGTCAATATCAACATCAACAGACACGAGAAACTAAGAAGGACTAAACTTCTGTCTGCCACGATTGATTATCTAAATTTTTGTGTGTAAAGATGCCCTTGTACACAATAGTCTGAGCACACTGGATCCTGAAAACAGTACTGTTTACTTATGTGTCTCCATGAAGAATTTGTAGAAATTTGTGTGACTATAGCCAGTGTGAGGGTTAATTTTGTGTCAACTTGACTGGGCCGAGAAGTGCCCAGAGACTTAGTTACCAGTAGGTCTGGCTGTGTCTGGGAGGGTATTTCTGGTTGAGATTAACATTTGAATCCCTGGACTGCAAGACTGCCTTCTTCAAGGAGGCTTGTCCTCGCTCAGTTCCTCGAATGCATGAATAGAACAAAAAGGCTGAGTAAGAAAGAATTGTTTATCTCTATCTTACCACATTTCAGCTGGGATATTGGTCTTCTCCCTTTGAAACTGAACTGGAACTTGGACCATTGGACATCCTGGTTCTCAGGCTTTTGGACTCAAACTAAAATGAACACGATTAGCTCTTCTGGATCTCAAGTTTTCTAACTATTGATCTTGGGCTTCTCAGCCTCTATATTCACATAAGCTAATTCATGATAATAAATGCACCCCACTCTCTCGCTCTCTCTGCACACACACACACACAGAGAGAGAGAGAGAGAGAGAGAGACCTGTATCTGTCTATATCTATCCATCTAGCTATCTATCCTATTGATTCTGTTTTTCTGAAGAACCCAGACACAGCAAGTTTCACTTATTCAACAAATAATTACTAAGTACCTACCATGAGGTTGGTAGTGCCCTAAGGAGTAGGTGATAAGATTCATAGTAAAATATCTGTATTTATAGCAAAAGCCTACCTTATATTCTCACCGTTGAAATGAAGACGGTATGCTAGCCAGCTTCCTTTGCAATCTCTGTGGAGAAGAAATCACCATTGATTCATTTGCTCAGCAAGTCTATGTTAAGTATCTATTGTTAAGTACTCTTCGAAAAGCTAGAGATACACAAGTGGAGGGCAGGAAAACAAATATCCCTGATTCATAGAGTTTAAAATGTAATGGGAGAGAGAGACCACAAAGAACAAAAAAATGCATAGTTATTGGGAAACAATTTTCCGTAGGTCTCTCACATTTCGCATACCTTGTTATCAGAGGCACTGACTGCATTTGTTCTGAACTACTCTTTTAAAAATACTTATCTAGTGAAGAACATCAGAAAATAGTGTCTTGTCCAGAGCAAGGTCAGGGTTGCTTACAGCCTAGGAAGATAGTGATAGGCTATCACTATATCACTATAAATAACTGCGTCACTACATCACTATAGTGATCCCGACAGGCTGTAGCGTGAGTGAGATGGGAAGTCACAAGAAGCCTTTCAGGAAAGAAGTGACATCATTTGATTTGCAGCATATTAGATTCACTTTGATTTCTAGGTTGAAAATAGCTCAAAGGAGGCTTTGACAGAAGAAAGAAGTCATGATATTGAAAGGTGCAGCAGAAGGGAGTATATAGCTAGAAACTGAGTGTTTTCCTGAGTTAGAAGGAGAGACAATTTTGCCTTTTCATATTTTAAACCCTAACTAGTTTGCTAATTTTCTCAGCAGCATTCTTCTTGAATTCATTGAACTATAATTGTATAAGCCTAATTAGTGCTAAGAATCTATTAGGCAGTAAAAAAATTTCCTCTCTAGTTAAAGAGGTGCACACGTCCTACATGTGAAATTAAAAAAAAATTAATTTTGATTATGCCAACTTAGAATCAATTAATTGATTACTTGCAACAGTCATTGAGAATTTTAATGTTTCCTGGTGCATTAAAAAGCAAATAAAATTTAGACTGTTTTTTTTTTTCTTCTGGTAAGATATGTCAATACATAAGTCCTCTACTCAGAGGAAGGTTTTATCTATCACTTCAGAAAGTGAAAGTGATGGCTAGGAATCAGACAGTCATGAGTATCCAAATCATCATTTTCTGGGAATCTTTTCCTTCTAAGCTAGTCATCTCAATATTGTAGAGATAAAATCTTACAAATCTTGCAAAGAATTCTAGCTGATTCATTGACAGGATTAACCTTTTATATCCTCTTATAATACATCTCATATGAAGATGAAAGGAAGAAAGTAGGAGGGCTGTCATGGTAAGAAAGCAATGAAAATCCCAAGTAAAATTAGTGGGAAAAAAAGGAAATCTATTTTTGTAGACCTCATCATTATCTATCTGTTTTTAAAGTCTTGGGGATGTACATTTCAGATCTGGTAACATTGTTCTGACCCACTTATCCAGAAAGCATTTGTGGTTAAAATCCTCTCAATGAAAATAATATATTCTCAAATAAGCAAGGCATGAAGAGGACATAGAGAGAAAACACCAGCCTGACCCAAGTAAATGGTGGCTATTATGAAATGGTGAGAAATTAGGTAGAGAGGGGGGTTGGGGCCTTTTGATGGAGAATCTTAAAAGTCAAAGGCAAAGAGGTTAGACTTGGGGCAACAAGGAACTCAAGTGTTTCATGAGCCAACGCTTACGTATGTCTGTATACCAGCCAGTTTATCATCAATGGGAAAAAAATTGAACTGCCATCAAACATTGTTTTTTTAGGCTCTATATGATGTTAAATGACAGTTGAAACTAGTTATTTCATCTACCTAATTTGCTTAGTCGGTTTCCAGGTTTGATTCCAGTTGGTTTTCAGTTGCTTTGAGGTTTGGTTTCAGGGAATATTTTGAGGGCTGAGTACATGTACATTTTGTTGATTTGTTTAATTATAGAAATAATGTACATGTTAAGCCTGCTTTATACATGAGAACCCTGAAGATCAGAGAAATAAAAGGAGTCTTTAATAAGGCTTGATAATAAAAAAAGAAAAAAATATTTCATTCTCAGCAACTAGACAATGACATAAATTTTTTAAAAGTGAATTTTTGAGAAAGCCTAGGTACTGTATATTTTAAGTCTTCATCTATTCATCATTGTAGCAGTAATTAGCACTCAGTTGTGAAAGATACACCAATGAACATGGAAAATACAGAGATATCTAAGATACAAACTCTGAAGAAAAAATCTACGTGCCAAGAAAGGACATATTCTGTGGTAAACTCACTGTTTATAATGCTATAATCAAGGTTTAAACAAAGAACCTTGGAGAACAGAACAAATAATAAGCCCTTCTATGGCAGTTGGGAATGGGCTATTAAAAGGCATAGTTAAGAGTGAGTGGAATTTATTCAGAAGGAGAGAAGGAAAAGGAAAGAGCAAGACCTTCAGAAGACAATTTCCTCTATTGACCCCCTGTCTCTGAACACGTACTGAAAATATGAATGCTTTCATATATTCTCCAGGACCGCTACATCACATAGTCTTCTTGAAATCTATGGCAGAGGGTTTGTTAATTCTTATAATGGGTATAAAAATACATCTTCATCCATGAATTGAGTGCTATTTAAGATATGTAACTAGTTAGAAAGTCTTTACAGCCCCACTTCTCTGGTAGAATGGAAGAGTAAGAATATATGGCTGACCTGGCAGTGCATGTATTCCTCCACTACACAGAGGTTCAATCTACAAATTAAACTATAAGTTGCTTTAGAATATCATTAAATATGTGTAATGTAAATACAGGTGAGCTTATTTATGATTATTGAAACCAAACACTTGTTGGAGGTGGCAGGGGGATGACTGGGAAAGAGAACCATGTTACTTTCTGAAGAGAAGGAAATGTTCTATATCTTATTTTGAACATGGTTACATGGATATATGAAATTACTAAAACCCACAAACTAATTTTTATGATTGTATTGCAATTATATCTCGATAAAAAGGAAGAAAAGCTTTGCATCTAGTTCACATTAACGTTTTTATGCATGTACTAGTCTGAAGTTTTAAGGGCATATGTGGTGTTTCATCCAAGCTACAAGAACAGAACCATACAGAATCCCTGCTTGCTTTTGGCAGAATTTGGTCTCAGATGTGCTTTCATTGTAACAAATAATCTAGCTATTAGTTCATAGGAATAGTAGAACAACGTCAACAATTAGTTCTGAAATTGGCTAAAAAAAAAAAAAATCCTAACATTAGTTAAGCAGATAAATAAGCTTAGGTGAATTTGCAACCATAAATAGTATCGATTTTCAATGTGAAAATTTGAATTCAAGCTAGAAAGGGAGGGCAGTGTGTTGATGAAGGTGGGCTTTAGGGGAGATTTGTCTTTTTGGAACCTCTCTATTTGCTAGTCTGACAGTTTTACAGTAGTGCTGAGCTCTCTCTGGAAGAAGTACCATGGATCACAGAATCTTCTATGCTCACAAGACCTTATAGAATATCTTGCACGATTTTAATACTTGCAAGGAAGGAGGAGGGGAATAAACATAGAAACCTTTTAGGTATGTGTTTTTGAGTTACTCAAACCTGAAAGTTGTAAACCCAAAGGAGAACCAAAGAAAAAGTGAGAGGCTCTTATGAAAATTATTAGCACTATTAACAGGACAGTTTATAGATAGAAAGATTTCAAATTAAGAATCTGGCCAGGCACAGTGCCTCATGCCTGTAATCCCGGCAATTTGGGAGACCAAGGAGGGCAGATCACGAGGTTAAGAGATCGAGAACATCCTGGCCAACATGATGAAACCCCATCACTACTAAAAATACATAAATTAGCTGGGCATAGTGGTGCATACTTGTAGTCCCAGCTACTCAGGAGGCTGAGGCAGGAGAATTGCTTGAACCTGGGAGGCAGAGGTTGCAGTGAGCTGAGACTGCATCACTGCACAACAGTCTGGCAACAGAGTAAGACTCTGTCTCAAAAAAAAAAAAAACAAAAACTAACACTGCATTTAGAAGAACTAAGAAAAAAAATCAACTTCAAAGGTAACAGAAGAAAAAAAAAACTAAAATCAGACAAGAACCAAATGAAATTGAGATGCAAAAATTTATACAAAAGATAAATGAAACAAAAAGTTGTTCTTTGAAACAATAAACAAGATTGATAGACTAGTACCTATATTGAAAATGAAAAAAGAGAAAATTTAAATAAACGCAATCATAAATGACAAAGGTGACATTACAACCAATCCAAAAGGAATACAAAAGATCCTGTTCAGAGACAATTGTGAAAATCACCATGTGCACAAATTAGAAACTCCAGAAGAAATGGATAAATTCAAAAAACATACAGCCTCCCAAGATTGAACCAGGAAGACAGTGAAAACCTGAACAGACAAGGAACAATTTTTAATTAAATCAGTAATTAGAAAAAAAAAAAAAACCTATCAATCAAAAAAAGTCCTGCACCAGATGGATTCACAGCCTAATTCTACCTAGGAATACATCTAACCAAGGAGATGAAAGATCTCTACAAGGAGAACTATAAAAGACTGCTGAAAGAAATCAAAGACAACACAAAAAACTGGAAAAAACATTCCATGTTCATGGATTGGAAGAATCAAAATTGTTAAAATGGTCATATTGTCCAAAGTGATTTATAGATTCAATGCTATTCTTATCAAACTACCAATGACATTCTTCACAGAATTAAAAAAAAAAAAAAAAACTATGCTAAAATTCAGATGGAATAACAAAATAGTCCTAAATAGCCAAAAAAAAAAAAAAAAAAGATCTTAAACAAAAAGAACAAAGCCAGAGGCATCACATTACCTTACTTCAAACTATACTATAATGCTCCAGTAACCACAACAGCATGGCACCCATACAAAAACACATAAAAATGAGACAGACAATGGAACAGAATACAGAACTGAGAAATAAACCTGCACATTTATAACCTCCCAATCTGCAACAAAAAAAACAAGCAATGGGGAAAATATTCTATTCAATACATGGTGCTGGGATTACTGGCTATCTACATGTGGAAGATTGAAACTAGACACTAATATACAAAAATTAACTCAAGATTGATTAATTAATTTAATGTAAGACCTCAAATTATAAAAATCCTAGAAGAAACCCAAGTAAATACCCTTCTCTATATTGGCCTTGGCAAAGAATTTGTGGCAAAGTCCTCAAAAGCAATTGCAACAAAACAAAAATTGATAAATAGGACCTAATTAAACAAAGCAGCTTCTGCACAGGAAGAGAAACTATCAATGAAGTAAACAGACACCCCACAGAATGAGAGAAAGAATTCACAAGCTATCATCTGACCAAGGTCTAATATTCAGAATCTGTAAGGAACTTAATCAAATTTATAAGCAAAAAAAAAAAAAAAAAAAAAAAAAAAAAAGGAGGCAAAGGACTTGAACAGACACTTCTCAAAAGAAGACACACAGGTGGCCAGTAAACATATGAAAAAGTGCTCATCCTTAATAATCATCAGAGAAATGCAAATCAAAAACACAATGAGATACCATCTCACATGAGTCAGAATGGCTTTTGTTAAAAAGCCAGGAAAATAATAATAATAACAGATGTTGATGAGGTTGTTGGGGAAAGGTGACACTTATGCACTGTTGGTGGGAATGTACATTAGTCCAGCCATCGTGGTGAGCAGTTTGGAGATTTTTCAGGGAACTAAGAGTTGAACTACCATTTGACCCAGCCAGTCCCATTACTAGGTGTATATCCAAAGGAACATGAATTATTCCACCTAAAGAACACATTCACCTGTATTCTTTAGGTAGAATAATTATAATAATATCACAGCACTATTCACAATGGCAAAAACATGATATCAACACAGTTGCTCATCAAGGAATGATTGGATAAAGAAAATGTAATACATATATACCATAGAATATTATGCAACCCTTAAAAAGAACAAAACCATATCCTTTGCAGCAGCATGGAGGCAGTAAGGGCCATTTTCCTAAGTGAACTAACACAGAAACATAAATCCAAATACTGCACGTTTTCATTTATAAGTGGGACCTAAGCATTGAGTACACATGTACATAAAGATGAAAACACTGGGGACTCCCAGAAGGGAGAGAGAAGGATGGGGGCAAAGGCTAAAATACTACCTACTGGGTATGCTCGATACCAGGATGACAGGTTCAGTTATACCGCAAACCTCAGCATCACACAATATACCTCTGTAACAATCCTGCAAGCACCCCCTAATTCTAAAATGGAAGTTGAAAAAAAACAAAGAAAGTAAAAATCTACATTAAGAAATGGACAACATAGACACGTTGAAAATTCCATTATTATCATATCCCCTTGTCTCCCCAATACCTTCTTCCTCGTAATTCTGCCCCTTGCCCTATAAAGACAATGAGTTTTATTTTAAAACTACTGCTTTTAAGAAGCCCAGTAAGAAAGCACATCATATATGAGACATATTCAAGCAAATGAGTCAGCCTTGGTTTTGTTAAATCTCTTAAAATGTCTTAAATTCTTTCCAAAAATAATATAACCTAAGACTGAAAAGCAATATCTGCATTATATTTTCTACTTTGTACACATATTTTGAAATGTAATGGTATATGCTTTATTTATCCACAGATAACAAAGAAACAGTTTAACCTTGATTGAGAGATTTTTGTAGTAAACCTGATATTTCTGAGGTTATATCTTTCAACCTCCTTATGACTAAGTGGGAAAAATTGAACACATAATGGCACTGCAAATGTTGTATCATGAATCAAAAGAAAGCAGCCTTAGACAACTAGTTTTCTCTGTAGAAGAAAAACTTAAGAGGATAATTTAAAAAACACATTTTGTTACATTCATTTCTAAAATGTCAATCCACAATGTGCTTTGATCATAAAGCCAAGGAGATAGAGATGAGGAATAATTTTGTTGCCCTTTTAACACACCAGCTATGTTGGATGTGATTTTACCTTTATACTTCCAGATACATCACATTTATGCCCTACCCAGATTGGCTTACAGATTGAACAACTAAATTTTTCTGAAATTTCATAAGATTCTAGTATGTTCATAGAACACTAAGCACACAACATGCCTAACACAATCTTTGCTTTTGTACAATCTCTTCTGACCACTATACCATGTACCTCAGGGACTTTGCTTACATATTCTAGAATGTTATTTAACCTAAAGATAAATAAAACTCTCTAAAAGAGAGTACAGAGGCTGCATTCTGAGGCTCAGGTCTTACTTTGTTCTTGGGTGCAACTCAACCCACAGAAAGATTATTCACACCCACTCATAGGTCCAGCTGCAGTCCCACCACCAGCTATGTGCACACCCAAAATGGCCCCTTTGTGAAGCAGGAGAGGCTGGAAAGGAGGAACAGTATGTTCAGTCATTCTGCAACCGCTGGGTAAAAAGTTCACCTTTAGTCCAAGTTTGAGAATGTTAATGCCTATTCCATAGGGTTGTGAAAAACAGAGAAAACTAAATGTCATTAAAAGAAAGTTATGTTTTAGAGCTTGGAATTCTTTATTTAAATTTTTGAGACTTTCTTGTAAAGAAATTATTAACTTGACATTCCAACCTATGTTTGCAGAAGCATTTTGTTGTAATTTAGAATATGTTTTCAATGGATAACTGACCTAATAAGCCTGCA